TATTTCTCAAAATTTTCAAATTTACTCATTTTTTTATTATTTAAAATACACACACTTCAATCTGTTGAAATGAAATGTCCCGCATCCATCAAAGGTATGTTCCGATCACCATGACAACCGTTTACTTTGTTCCTCGGCGCGGCCTACTATCCACTAAGTGGATATTTTAAGAAAAATTTGAAATGTTGAGGTTAATAGTGAAAATAAATATAGAGTGTTATATATTTTCGAGAAGCCCATGCCAAGCTGAATAAGAAAATTTAAAAATATACAGGGGGTCCTATTTAAAAAAACATATCTGACTGATATCAGTCTGACTACGCCACTGCATTCTACACAGAAAAGTGCCTTTAGAATGTATAATTCATTTTCCGTGGTTGCTGAAATAAACAAACTATCGAAGATCTTCAAAAAGTACAAAATTTGAGAATCCCCCTGTAGCTTCGAAACCGATCAAGATAGCCACGATCCGTTTGCGCCATTGTAATTTTTTCAAAAAAAGAACCCGAGACTGCAATATCAAAATTTGAATATTTCTCACGGTTTCCTAGATACTCTATAGAAACAACCAAAATGGTCCACCCTGTACATCTGTCTATGCCTTTATCCCTCATAAACAAAAAACAATTTTAATTAACACAAGTTTTAAGTGTATGGCGACAGCTTGTTAGAAGCCAAAAAAAAAACATTTTTTTTGTTTCCACAATCTGTATAGCCCACTTTTTTCTAGCAAGGATACCACACTAACACTGATTATAAAAACATCAGTCAGCTCAAGCCCTTGCAACAATATACATACATATTCCTAAATATTTATATACTTTTCTATATTACATGTTAATAAATAATCATAGTCTATGTTTACCCAATACTGTGCGATACATATAACCTACACATAATAAAATTATAAGGTAATTGTAGAAATATAAATATACTTTATTAAATAAATTGCATAGCTTCAATCAATTTAACTACTACCAACAACTGTAGCCACCCAGGAAAACGTCGATGCTGTACATAAGCTGATCCAAGAAGATGGATATGACATATCGTGAAATTAAAGCATAATTGGGCATTTCAAAAACCTCAATTCAAAAAATTTTACATGAAGAATTGACTCACCCTGTACATTTATCTTTTAATAAAAAAAAATTCTCGTTGGATACCGCATCTGCTATCGAAAGAACAGAAAGCAATTAATTCAAAAAACTCTACACCGGTTTAACGCAGGAAACTCAAAAAATATTTATTTTTTTATTTTTTTAGAATGTACTACTTTAGAATTATTTTTATACAGGGTGGTCCGAATTGTATTACGGAAACTTCGGCAGCATATTCTGCAGATAAAAATAAGTAAAAAAGTTCGTATAAATGTATGTCCAAAAATGCTTAGTTTCGGAGATACGGGGTGTCGAAGTTTCATTTTTATTTCGATTTTTTTCGAAATAATTTTTGAAGTAATGTAAATATTTGGACGAAAATTGGTGACTAGGAGTTTTTTAACATGAGAAATTTGATTTTGATATCAATATGACTCCTATTTGTAGGGGGCGCCACCTACATGTGTTCTAACTGTTTTGAAGAGTAATAACTTTTCGTCCGTACCTGTATAAAACTACTGAGTGAAAAAATATACATTTCCGTGATTTTCTACGTAAAAAATATCTCTTGGTAAAAATCGCTGCGAGCAACCGTTTTCAAGATATTTAGAATGGAAATAGTCAATGCGTGTCATTATTGGCAAAAAATAAAAGTATTGGGTAGATAAATTATTTGACTGAAATAATAAATTTTTTTAAACTTTTTTTTAATTAATCATACATTTTTCTTCGAAAAAATGATGATAAAACAGTTTCTGTTGAACTTTTGGCACAAAAACATTTCAAATTTATAATTTCAGTGTAATAACTATTTAGTCAACATGTTTAATTTATGTCAATGATGACAGGTATTGATAATTTCGATTCACAATATCTCGAGAACCATTACTCGTAGCGATTTTTACCAAGAGACTTGTTTTACATAAAAAACGTCGTAAATGTATATTTTTTTACTCAGTATTTTTATACAGGTACGTACAAAAAGTTATTACTCTTCAAACCAGTTAAAAAATATGCAGGTGGTGCCCTCTATAAGTGGGAGTCATATTGACATCAAAATCAAATTTCTAATACCAAAAAACTCCTAGACACCAATTTTGATCCAAATATTGACGTTACTTCAAAAAATATTTGGAAAAAATCGAAATAAAACTGAAACTTCTACACCCTGTATACAGTAGTGTCAGTGGTGATGAATCCTGGATTTACTTTTATGAACCCGAAAATTAACGTCAATCGGCTGTTTGGCTACTCCGAGATGAACCAAACCAAAACCAACGAAAGTTATCCTTCTCAAAGTGTTTTCAAAAAGATGGTTGCGACATTTATCTCAAAAGCGGGTCATATAGCAACACTTCCTCTGCAAGATCAAAGAACTGTTACAGCTGTATGGTACATACCAATTTGTTTGCCGAAAGTAATTACATACTGAGTTTTGGAAAACCAACCCGCAACGACGAATGGTCCTCTATACAGTTCCGACCTGAGTCCTAAAGACTTTTTTACTTTTCAAAAAATTAAGAATGAACTGAGTGGTCAAAGGTTCCGGTCCCCAAAAAACGCAATTTTGAAGGTACCAGCAAGCGAGTGGAATAACTGCTTTCAGAATTGGTTCCAACGGACACAAAATGCATTCTCTTCGTGGAGAATACTTCGGAAAACAATAGTGTTTAAAAGTTATATACTGTTATTTTTTCTACCTCTATATGCAATATATAAAAGAAAAGCCCCTTAATTGATTAGATAAAATAAAAAAGCAGTATATATATATCAACTAGGGTTCATATCAAATAAACTTTTAGTTACGTCATCGAGGGCGCAATTTTTAAATTAATTGTTGCCAACAATGGACATATTCGGCGCCGTGCTGACTAAATGGAATTTAAATTTCCCGTTGGCGATTCAGGTGGCAGCTCTGCTGTATAAAAATGTCAAGCTGCCGCATTTATTTATTAATTTCCTGACATTCTCATTCGTTTTGACACTTTTTTTTCACACAAGTTTTTTTATTATGAGTTTTTAGTTTAAATAAATAGCGTTGTGATACTTTAAGCTTAAAAATGTTTACTACCAGACCTTGAAGTCGAACATTGTTCTTTTTAGAACCTCTTTTAGTGCGAAGTGGTACAATATTTCTTAATAGCCCTAAAAAATAATCGCAACTTAATTAGAATATTTTAAACGGAAGCGTTAGTAATGGCCCTCTATGTGCCTTAAGTGCTGTTAAGAAGGTGAGTTTGTTGATGTAAATAATAACTGTTTATATATTTATAATTAATTTATTTTTGTTTCCTAAAATATTTTCATTAAAACAAAATATATAAAAATAGGCAACGCTATCTTCTGTCTCTGTCAAGATTAATCACGTGACTAAAAGTTTATTTGGTATGAACTGTATAAAAAATATGTTAAGTGTTTTGAATATCAGCAAACCTTTACTACTATATGATTAACGTTATACAGGGTCCGGCAATAGTGCGTCGGGCATCTGTAGCTCCTAGAATAAAAAACTTAAGAATTTTGTCTAAGTCCAAATAGAAATTATGTTCTAGGATGTATTCCAGGAAAATATTTTAACTTCCATAGGGTGGCCCAAAAAAGGGTGAGTGAATCGGGATGAATTTTTTTTAAATGGAACACCCTGTATATTATTGCATTTTTGGCTTCTTTTCAGATCACTTTACATAATCCTAAGATATGAGTAAATACATTTCGATAGTTTCAGAGATATTAATAAATAAATAAAAAATATATATTTTTCAGCCTCTCTTGGAAGATTAAGATGATTTATTAAAAATACCTAAAATACCTCTAAGATGATTTATTAAAAATACCAAGAACTGTCCTGAAATCAAAACGATATTAGATATTTACTTTAGATGGTCTGTACTTACTTTGCTATAAATATGGTAATCGAATATCATACAGGATGTTCAAAATTTTACTTCAAACTTTCTAAAATATAAAATAATTTTTCTTCGTTTTTTTTTAAATGGAACACCCTGTATATTGTTTTTTCAATAGATGGAGAATTGAAAAATCAACATTTTTTGTATTTAGAGTATTTCAAAAAAATTTGACGGTTTTGCAGATATTCGCGGTTTTATATTTCATATGGCATTTTCCATAGTATAATTTTTATCAAAACCACCAAATGATTTTTCTCTCTTATTTTACCGTTGAGAGAGCCATATGAAATAATACTGCATGTATCTGCGAAACCATTAAAAATTCTGAAATACTTTAAATACAAAAAATGTTCATTTTTTAATTCTCCATCTAATAAAAAAATAATATACAGGGTGTTCCATTTAAAAAAAAACAAAGAAAAATTATTTTATATTTTAGAAAGTTTGGCGTAGAATTTTGAACATCCTGTATGATTTAATATTACGATATTTATAGAAAAGTTAAGTACTGACCATCTAAAGTAAATACCTAATATAGTTTTGATTTCAAGCCAGTTCTTGTATTTGTAATGTTTTTTTTTAATGAAGGTTGAAAATGTTGAAAAATATAATTTTTTTAATTATTTATTAATATCTCTGAAACTATCGAAATATGTTTACTCATATCTTAGGATTATGTAAAGTGATCTGAAAGGAAGCCAAAAATGCAGTAATATATAGGGTGTGTTCCATTTAAAAAAATCATCCCGATTGAGCCACCCTATAGAAGTTAAAATATTTTCCCGAAATACATCCTTGTACATACTTTAGGTTTACACTTAAAGACAATTCCCAAGTTTTTTATTCTAGGAGCTACAGATGCCCGACGCACTATTGCCGGACCCTGTATAGTAATAAAACTAAATATAAATAGTGCTACTTGAAAAAAATATCTAATCATTGGTCGACGAGCAACTATAGGTATGTTGAAAACTAAGTACAGAAATCTTACCCATTCTCTGTGTCCTGTATAGGTCCTGACACAATATCCAGTGGACACCTCCCACATTTTGATAGTTTTGTCTCGACTGGACGACACTACGAAATCACCTGCGGGCATAAAGGACACACTGGACACGTTGTGATCGTGTCCCAGCATCGTACGAATACATTCAAAACTCTGTTGGAAATCCCATAATTTTATACTCATATCTGAACTGCAAGACACCTATTAACAGAAAAACAAACAGAATTACTTAAAGATATTAAATTAATCATATATGTAAATCAGCATCCTCGTTGGAAACATAGGAAGCCTCATACAAATTTTGAAGTGTACAAATATTTTCTCCCCTTTTCATTCTACAGCAAAGTCGCAAAGATAATTTTTAAATGTCTGCGTATGGTAAATATATCTGACAAATTTAAATTATGAAATTTACTTAATTTAGTTCAAGTTTACAGAAAACTTTATTGGGTCCATTAGTCACACAAATATGGGTTTAAAAGCAAAACAAAGCAAACGCGTTTAATGTAATATGCAATTTGTTGTGCTGTCTACACTAGTACGTCATAGTACCTATAGTTACTGTATCGTAAATGCATTTTTGTAATACTCTCGATTATCCGACTCTCTATTTTCCGATCGCTGGATTATCCGTTGGTATCCGAATTGAGATACACCGCCGTTGAAATCTGTATTAACCGAGCGACGCAGTATTATTCGAGCAGGTCTAATATATCGAGTAATCATGGGGAATTATGGAGAATCCCAGAATTACCAAAGCAACACAAACTGACTTTAGTTGTTCTTTTGTTTGTCAAAATTATTAATAAAATATTTTAACGTATTGACATTTATTATTAAATAATACATATTAAAAAGTAGATAAAAAACAGAATTTAAAAAATCTAGATTATCCAAATCGCCAATTTTATTATTGGAGCTAGGGTACAGCCCACATTGACTCAGATAGTCGAGGGTCTACTGTACATATTTTTCGTTTAATATTTTATCAACGTCTTCTGATATTATAATTATGTATTTCGTTATAGTCCAGATACCAACAGTTATGACCCAACTAGCAAAACCAATGCTTAAAACCATACTACAGCTACCATAGTTGAAGCAGCCCTCATGTTATTACTCATCTAGTTTAATTAGCTTGAATATTTATTATAAGAGTTTTCACAAATTGCACTTGCGAATACTTTTCAATTACAATTTTTTTCGTGTATTTGCTATTCAAGCTCGTGTATTTGTATAAGTCAGTATTTTACGGAATTCTCCGATGGTGGCAGCACCGTCGAAGGAGGATTATAAATAAGAATTGAGAAGCTACTTACAAGAAGTTTTCCAGACGTATCAAAAGCAATATCTTGAATTGGATCAGTATGCCCTTTTAATGTTCTTTCGTATTCACCCGTTTCGAAGTCCCAAATTTTCATAGTAGCATCTTCACTGGCAGACACCATAAGACTGAATACAGGATGAAATATAACTCGAGTTACTGGCGCTCTATGACCTAAAACGATTAAAAACAAATTTTAATACCAAATTACCTAAACACATTGTCTATATTATAACATTTTCCTGAGTTTCAAATATATTAATTCCAAATAGCTTTGATTAACTATCCCTGGCAAAAACATCAGCGATAGACATCAGTGATGCCAACTTGTGGGAAATTTGATCAGATTAATTAGCTAAAATTGATAATGATTACTTTTGGAAAAAGTTTTTCGTTAACACGGCAATATAATGTCTAGTTCGTCAGAAGAGTAAATGAGAAAATAGTAAATGAACAGCAACAAAAGACCTCCGATAAACGATACTACAGGGTGTTTCAAAAAACATGTGCCATCTCTCGTGCGGAGATTCCTCATATAAAAATAAAATTTATTTTTCATATCAACATATGCTTTGTTTTGTAGCTAGAGGGTCAGAGGGTGTTAAAATCTTAATATTTTTTCGATTTATTATAATTTTCTTCCAAGTGCTTTTAGCGTTTCGAATGAAATTTGGAGGGTTTTTATTTAAAATTGCTGTAGGTTGGACTAATAGTAGTAATAACTAAAAGTAATAATATTTAATAATAAATTAGATAAAATATATAATTCATTAATTTTATTTTTATTTTTATTTTAATTTAATTAATCGTGATTAATAAAATTGCGTTTATCTCATCGAGGAGGCCGAGTTCGACAAAATATCAAGAGATAACTTTTAATTGGCATTAAACGGCCTACACAATTTTGATACCAAAAGAAAAAAAGTCAGTGGCGCACATGTATACATTTTGAAAAATATTCAAGTGATAACCCATATGCACGTCCCTGGTGAATCTGTCGACACTTTTTTAGCATTTATAGTAACTTTTACCCTCAGAATGATAATAAATCGAAAGATTATTAAGACGTTAACACCCTGTAGATGTATGTAGATGGATGTAATAGTAGAATATATGTAGACACCCTGTAGATGGATGTAATAATTGATCTTGAGTAATAAGTGGGAATTTTTAGAAAAATTGGGAAATTTTGATCGTCTTCCTGGGAAATTTTATTTCGGATAGTTGGCAACACTGCAAGGTATAGCTGTAACGTATTCGCTCAACTAGTCGGATTCTGAGCGCCATTGAAGCTTTGTTTAAAAAACTGATCGAATCTGATGTTCTGACTACTGGTATGAGTATGAGGATAAGCGCAGTAGGCGACATGCAGACACTCAAAAACAAGCGAAGACGACCAGCTGGTACTGAATAAGCTGCTGTACTACAAACTATTCAAATTAGTCAATTATAGCAACATAAAAATTACTACCACCAACCAAGACCAGATTACTATCTGATTAAATCAGAGATATTAATTAAATATTACCCAATATATTACCGTAAATTTCTTTTCAAAGATACGTTAAAAAATTAAACAAACACTAATATAAATTTTCAAGATCGCCTAACTTAAACAAATATACCATGACTCACTTCTCATGTCATTTAAATTTATATTTGGTGGTATACCAATTATAAGATTCATTTTTATGAATGTTTAATACCGAGAATATTAATAAACCGGTTTACCTAAAAGCATTATTTCAGCTAATAAATAGTACATATTTCTTTAGTCTGTGATATTTTATTACAAATGTCAGATTTTTTAAACACAAATTAGTTGTAAACTTTAATATTATATATAATATTATGATCGAAAGTCAAAACCCTGTTTGCTTTTGAACACTCTACAGGGTCCGGCAATAGTGCGTCGGGCATCTGTAGCTCCTAGAATAAAAAATTTAGTAATTTTGTTTCAGTGCATACCTAAAGTATGTACTAGGATGTATTTCAGGAAAATATTTAAACATCTATAGGGTGGCTCAAAGAAGTGTGAGTGGATCGGGATGATGTTTTTTAAATGGAACACCCTGTATATTATTGCATTTTTGGCTTTCTTTCAGATCACTTTACATAATCCTAAGACATGAGTAAATATATTTCGATAATTTCAGAGATATTAATAAATAAATAAAAATTATGTATTTCTCAGCCTTTCTTAAAAAAATTATTAATAATATAAGTCCTAAAATCAAAACTATATTAGGTATTTACTTTAGACGGTCTGTACTTACTTTGCTATAAATATGGAAATCGTAAATCATACAGGATGTTCAAAATTCTACGCCAAACTTTCTAAAATATAAAATGTTTCGTCGTTTTTTTAAATGGAACACCCTGTATATTATTTTTTCAATAAATGGAGAATTAAAAAATGAACATTTTTTCTATTTGGAGTATTTCAAAATATTTAACGGTTTCGCAAATATTCGCGGTTTTATATTTCATATGGCATTTTCCACAGTAATTTTTTTTCAACCCCACCCAATGATTTTTCTCTCGTATTTTACCATTGAAAGCGCCGTATGAAATAATACTGCGCGTATCTGCAAAACTATTAAAAATTTTAGAATACTTTAAATACAAAAAATGTTCATTTTTTAATTCTCCAACTATAGAAAAAATAATATACAGGATGTTTCATTTAAAAGAAACAAAGAAAAAATATTTTATATTTTAGAAACTTTGGCGTTGAATATTGAACATCCTGTATGATTAACGATTACCATATTTATAGCAAAGTAAGAACAGACCATATAAAGTAAATACCTAATATAGTTTTGATTTCAGAACAGTTCTTGTATTTTTAATAATTTTTTTAAGAGAAAAATATATATTTTTGAATTGTTTTTTAATATCTCTGAAACTATCAAAAAACATTTACTCATATCTTAGAATTCTGTAAAGTGATCTGAAAGGAAGCAAAAAATGCAATAATATACCAGGGTGTTAAGGGTGTTCCATTTAAAGAAAAATCATCCAGATCCGCTCAGATTTTTTTGAGCCACTCTATAGAAGTTAAAATATTTTCCTGAAATACATCATCATAATTATTTACTTATTGTAGGTACATACTTACTTTTCTTGGTATGCTTAATGCCGATATCTTAGAAGGATGTGTAAGGTGAGGTTCCAAAAGATCTATTAACTCATAGGCCACAGGTTTTGTTAATCTACAGGGTGGTCCGAATTGTATTCCGGAAACTTCGACAGCATATTCTGCAGAAAAAAATAAGTAAAAAAGTTCGTATAAATATATGTCCTAAAATGCTTAGTTTCGGAGATACAGGGTGTAGAAGTTTCATTTTTATTTCGATTTTTTTCAAATAATTTCTGAAGTAACGTCAATATTTGGATGAAAATTGGTATCTGGGAGTATTGTGACACGAGAAATTTGATTTTGATGTCAAAATTACTCCTATTTGTAGGGGGCGCCACCTACATGTGTTTTAACTGTTTTGAAGAGTAATAACTTTTCGACCGTACCTGTATAAAACCATTGACTAAAAAATATACATTTTCATGACTTTTTATGTAAAAAATGTCTCTTGGTAAAAATCGCTACAAGCAACCGTTCTCAAGACATTTAGAATGGAAATAGTCAATACATGTCATTATTGACAAAAAAAGAAGCACACGTTGAGTATAGTTATTTGACTGAAGTAATAAATTTTTATTTTTTTAAATTAATCATAAGTTTCTCTGGAAAAAACGATGATTAAACAATTTCTTTTGAACTTTTGACACAAAAAGATTTAAAATTTATGATTTCAGTCTAATTACTATTTAGGCAACATGTTTAATTTATGTCAATGATGACAGGTATTGATAATTTCGATTCCAAATATCTCGAGAACCATTACTCGTAGCGATTTTTACCAAGAGACCTTGTTTATGTAAAAAAAGTCGCAAATGTATATTTTTTTACTCAGTAGTTTTATACAGGTACCGACGAAAAGTTATTACTCTTCAAAACAGTTAAAACACATGTAGGTGGCGCCACCTACAAATGGGAGTCATATTGACATCAAAATCAAATTTCTCATGTCAAAAAACACCCATCCACCAATTTTCATCCAAATATTGACATTTCTTTAGAGATTATTTGGAACAAAATCGAAATAAAAATGAAACTTCTACACCCTGTATCTCCGAAACTAAGCATTTTAGGACATACATTTATACGAACTTTTTTACTTATTTTTATCTGCAGAATATGCTGCCGAAGTTTCCGGAATACAATTCGGACCACCCTGTATATTATTTAACAAATTGATTATCAGACAACTCAAAGGGGTTCAAAAATGGATGGTATATTCTATCCCCTCTATCCGTTAAAATTTCAGCTTCTTCCAAAGCATTTGAAATATTTCTTTCAATAAGAAAATTTAGTCCAGCCATTTTTCAAAATCGTTGAAAATAAATAATTTATTAATCGCAATTCACAATAAACAATAAACAAAAAAATAAAAATAGGTTAGAATCGCAATAATCGCATACGAAGTTTCACATTCGAATGGTGTATACCCACTCGAACCACCGCATACGAAAATAGTCGTGCACGAAGCCCTCGAAACTATTCGAAAATACATTTTTCTGATTTTCATGCGAAGTTTACCAAATTTCGTACACGACTTAGCTCCGCATGGTTTCGAAAATACGACCCCTGGTACATACTTTAGGTTTACACTTAAACAAAATTCCCAAGTTTTTTTATTCCAGAGATGCCCAACGCACTATTGCCGGACCCTGTATATGGAGTAGGTTTTTTTCGAGAAAGCAAAAGGAAGGGTGTCCTAGTTGAGTTGTCACTTGGTGGGTTTAAAATATCTAGGAGTTTTTTGTTCTATGTTTTATAATTAGGTCCTTTGACTGAGAAATATTTTCAAAATAGCGGAACTTCCTGAAAACAGGATGTTGGAGGCAACCTCTATATTTTCTCATTTTTATTATAGATTGAATTACTGTAAATTTTGATGAATTTTGATAACAAACACTCTAAACCTCATATTAATAATTTTTGAAAAAAAAATTGAGCAGAAAACTGACTTTCACAGGAAAATCACATAAACGTCAAAGATTAATGAGACAAATATTGCAAATTAAAGAGAAGAAGTCTGGTTTAAGCCCCATAATCATTATATGCATACTCATATGCGCCGATGCGTCGATTTTCGCATCATGCGTCGTCATGCACCCTTCGGGAGTATAATGCGGTTCGTCGATACGATTTGTTAATTCATTTGGAAATTCCTCCATTATGTTGAGGATATTTATTGCAGTTGAACGACAGCCAATGAGTAAGCGCCTGTCGATCACGTGAAGCACAGAAAAGAGATGCATTGGAAAAAATGGAAAATGATCCTTATTGTTGTTTCATTATTTATGTTTATATAATGTTTATATTTTGCACAATGTTGGATTATTATATTTGAATTTTGAAAAATATTAAAAGTATTTTTAAATCGAAAGAAAAACGTTCGAAATCTTCACAATTCCAAACCTAATCTACAACCGAAACTGACTGTTTATAAATACAAGAATGTTGAAACTCAACTTCCGTTAACACCCTACTGCAACTGAACCTCAACTAAACGTCAACTCCCGAGTTTATAAATCCTAAATAAGTAGGGTTTCCATAAAAGCTTTTGGAAATTCCAGATAAGTCAACTAAGAAATCCGGACATCGCAAAAAAGAAACTATACATTTATTTATGAACTTTTATAGGACGCAAATAGCCCCGGAAACAACAAAATATAAACTAAAAAATATTCAAATAGCCTCGGAATCAACAAAATATAAACTAAAAAATATTCACTTTCAAGGAGTGCACCAAAACATATGAATGCCAAAGTATAGAAATGGGTACTTTCGAACATGCGTCGATAAGTAGATATTATGTAGCATCGTAGAGACTAAAATAGTCAACAAAGTAAGTGAGAAATAAATGAATTCAACTGTAACTGTTAAATTGTTTTTGCGGTCAGGGTTCCCGGACGCTTTTCCAAATCCGGGCCTGACCGCCCCGGACACTTTAAAAATCCGGACATGTCCGGGGAAATCCGGACGTATGGAAACCCTAGCTATAAGGTATAACGGTGCGTGACGTGAGCTGTCAATTGCGGAAGATTTCCAAACCTAATTTATTTGAAAAGTAATTTTCTGTATAGAATTTGTTCCGTATATTCTTCCGATACTTTAAAGATGAATCCAACAAATCAGAGATAGTTAAAATCAGTCAAAGTCGCAGTTTTTGAGATAAATTGGCGCCGGGAGGCACGTATAGCCGCCCATACTTGATATATTTTTATCTCAAAAACTGCGACTTCGACTGATTTTGATGTTATTACAAATTTTGTTGCAAATATTATTCCTAATCTTAAATTGAAAACAGCGTTTCGCTAGCTACTGTAATTTTGGAGTTACGATTTTTTAAAAATTTTAACCCCCTCCCATACCCGAATACATTTTTAACCTCCTCCATTAGCCGATCATACCTGTCGGTATGGTCGGCTAAAAAATTGGAAAAATTCCTTTACTTTGAAACTAGAAGAACTGCCTACCAACTTTTTATTAACATATTTTAGTATGGGCGGCTATACGTGCCTCCCGGCGCAAATTTGTTTTATTTGTAAATGGTGTAACTAACTGGACTTCGTTTTATATATTTAGATAAATCATGACAAAATAATCTCAGTAAATGTGAACTATTTCAGTTTCTCCAAATTTTAATAATCGATCATCACAAATAAATCTAGTACATATGAAATATATTTGTTGAAATTCTATAAATTAATTCAAATATATAAAATATATTTTTGCTGAAATTAATTGTTTTACTTTTTGACATCTTGAGACTAATTAAATATACTTTTTGTCAGTCATGCTCTATTTATAGAACTTTTTTTTCTAGTTCTTGCCGTTTTTTCCGAAATTTCGAAAAAATAATTGTACTTATTTTCTCCACCGCTTCTCGGTGGTGAATTAATGGCTCTTACTACAAAGTCTTGTCCATTTCGACCATTTCTAAAGTATTTATTTTCCGCAAAATTTCAAACAACAAATCGGTTGAAATTCCTAACACAGAGTGGCCAAAAAGAGAATTATTCTTACAACTCCGTGAGCAGTAGCGGCAACAGCTGGTTTAGAAAGAATTTTTTTTAAATTAAAAATCGACAAGTTTTCTTATTATATATTTTAGAAAAAATGGTATTTTTTGTCTCGTTTTTTGTGATTTGAAACTAAAGTTTGATTTTTGTTATCTTACCAAATCAAAATAAAGGTATTTTGTATTTTAGTTTTTTTGCATTTTAGCCCAGGAACAAAATCTTAATTTCTGATATCGGATATGATATACGTACGATACACGTATGTATATCCGATTTTATAATATTTATATAAATATCATGATATTTTCCAAAACCGATTTGAAGGCCTATTTTCTTGAACTAAATGTTGAGCATCGAAATTGTACAACAAAAAACCACCATATATACCATGTTTTTCTTTACTCACCAGTGAGACAGAACTTCTCTGGTGGCCTAGGTATCCACTCGGTGGGACACCTTTTGCCTCTCGTCGGAGCTCCCTCGATGTACTCCTTCTCGGCATCGTTTAGTTTCGATTCCAACTCCATAACCTTCTTTTGAAGTCTGATGACCGACGTCCATTTTTTCTCCAGGAGACCTCCAAATTTCCTCTCGACTTCCCCCGGCATGTCGGCCTCCTTTTTGAAGGCATCTAATGCTTCGGTATAACCATTGCTATTTAGGTAATCAGCGATAGCTTTGTTGCTGCAAAAAAAGTATAATTGGTTACGTAATGATCAAACTGCAATAGAAGCATACACGACGACACTTTGAAAAGTGAAAAGTAGCAATCGGAAAGATTTCAAATTTGGGGGCTTTATTGGGGGATAATAATTTCATAGGAGCAATAAGGGTTCACCAAATGACCACAGTGGCGCTAATAACGCATAAATCTAAAATATGAAAAGTAACCATAGATAAGAGAATAAAAGTAACATAACCAAACATTACCCAAAAAAGCTTTGTTTCTATTTGTTAGAATGTAATTATTTTTATACAGGGTGGTCCGAACTGTATTCCGGAAATTTCGGCAACATATTCTGCAGATAAAAATAAGTAAAAAAGTTCGTATAAATGTATGTTCTAAAATGCCCACGTTTGGAGATTCAGGGTGTAGAAGTTTCATTTTTATTTCGATTTTTTCCAAATAATTTACGTATTAAAGTAACGTCTATATTTGGATGAAAAATTGCTGCATTGACATGAAAAAGTTGATTTTGATGTCAATATGAGTCCTACTTGTAGAGAGCGCCACCTACATATTTTTTCATTGGTTTGAAGAGTAATAACTTTTCGTCCTTACCTGTATAAAACTACTGAGTAAACAAATATACATTTCCGTAATTTTATACGTAAAAAATGTATCTTGGTAAAAATCGCTACGAGTAACCGTTCTCAAGATATGTATTTAGAATGGAAATAGTCAATACATGTCATAATTGACAAAAAATAAACATGTTGAGTAGATCAGATATTTGACTGAAATGATAAATTTGGGAACTTTTAATTTTTTTAAATTAATCGTAAATTTTTCTTCGAAAAAATGGTGATAAAACAGTTTCTGTTGGACTTTTGGCATAAGAACATTTCAAATTTATAATTTCAGCCTAATAACTATTTAGTCAACATGTTGAATTTATGTCAATGATGACGGGTATTGATAATATCTCGAGAACCATTACTCGTAGCGATTTTTACCAAGAGACATTTTTACGTAAAAAACGTCGTAAATGTATAATTTTTTACTCAGTAGTTTTATACAGGTATGGAAGAAAAATTATTATACTTCAAATCAGTTAACAAATATGTAGGTGGTGCCCTCTAAAAATAGGAATCATACTGACATCAAAATCAAATTTCTCATATCAAAAAACTCCCAGACGCCAATTTTCATCCATTATATTGACGTTACTTCATAAATTATTTGGAAAAAATCGAAATACATAAAAATGAAACTTCTACACCCTGTATCTCCGAAACTAAGCATTTTAGGACATTTATACGAACTTTTTCACTTATTTTTATCTACAGAATATGCTGCCGAAGTTTCCTGAATACAGTTCGGACCACCCTGTATATTAGAGAAATAAAATTTGTATTTTTTGAAACCCGAGCCTGCACCTCAAATATTTATCTCTTTTGAATCATTTCCTGGTCTAAAAATTTTCGCCGCACATTTTAAATTTTAGGTTTTGGCTACAGTAGCGCCATCTTCAGTCTTCCCTTTTTTATACCCCCCCACCCCCCCATTTTTTAATGCACGAATATATTTCTCCTTACTAGTGATGTTGGTAGCGAATATTTCCATTCGAATTTTGCAGGAAATTTCAGAAATTTCCGAAATATTCGGTCCCAAAATCGCGAATATTCGCAAAAATCCGAATTTTGCAAGAAATTTCTTTTCAAAATTCAAGACATTAAGCAAAAATTTAACGAAAGTGTATCAAGTATGCCGATTCTTAAGTCAGAAGAAAAAGAATGCTTCTCCGCCTTACAAAATAAAATTCCTATGAAACTTGAACGAATGCATTTTGCCGCGAATCTCTTGGACCCCTGTTTCCTGGGAGAGCACCTTAACAATGAAGAACACATAGCCGCTATGGAATTTATCAACAATATCACCAACAATCATCCTCAGTTTGTCAATAATAAGCCATTTTTACAGATGTAACAAATTATTGCGCCAAATCGGGTTTATGGGCTGTCTAAGTTGGTGGCAAGCAATGTGTAAAAAAATACTCAGTTGAAATATTTAGCTGTTGCTCTGCTGTCTTTACCAGCGTCATCTGCAGCCACAGAGAGAAGTTTCAGTACTTACAGTTTTATCCATACTAAAAAAAGGAATCGCTTAACTGCACAAAGAGCCGGTAAAATAATGTTCGTAGCTCATAACAATAAATTATTACTACAAAAACAAAAAGTGGATATGGAGCATGATATTCAACAACATAAGCGACAACATGAAATTCCTCCAGAACCACTAGAACTCGTGGAGGTAGAGGTCCATCCTTCAGAATCAGAACCAGATGTTACATCAAATATGTATATCTGATTTGGAAATAGAAACTGACGAAGACAATACTGCTACTAATACTATAATACCCTATGAAGATGGGACCAGCTCGGCGCACAGTGATCTGGCTGGGTCAGAAATAGGGCATTCAATCCCGAAAGAAATTTATTAATAAATTTCTTTCGGGATTGAATGCCCTATTTCTGACCCCCCCCCCTTTTTATAAAATTTATAATTTTTCGATCCCGGGATCCCGGGATTGGTCCCGGGATTCACGAAAAAATTAATTACGTTGGAACTATATTATATTTTCTTTCTTTACAAAATTTTATTGTACAAAAAAAACATTAACATAAATTAAACGTCATCCCCATTACAAAACAACATAACATATAAGTTTATTTAACAAAAAAAAACATAAAAGGAACTAAAATATACATTTTTTATTTAATTTACATAACCAATCGAATACAGCATAACACAGGATTACTAAGAGATACTAAAATAACAACTTATGCAGTAACAAAGATGAGGATCTAAACTTGGTTTTTTTGGTTTTTGAAAAAATTTAAAAAAAAAACAAGCCGATCAAGAGTATTATCACTCAAACTAGATCTTCATCATCTTCAAACTTGATCAAACATTCAGGGTTGTTTATAAGCGCATATTGTACTATCATGAAAGACTTGTGTACGATCTAAATTAAGGAAAAAATGTAATGATGAATCCCGAAAATCCCGGGATTAAAGAAAAGACAATCCCGGGATTTTGGGATTGAAAAAATGTCCGGGATCGCGGGATTGAATGCCCTAGTCAGAAAGCGGTCAAAAGTCATTTTGGTCATAATAGATTTTAAGAATACGAAAAAAATACGATTTTTTTTATAATTGAATTTCAAAAAAATCCGTTTTTTTCCAAAAAACCCAGCTTTTTTGATTGCATCTTGGTGAACATCCTAAAGCATTGCATCTTGGTGAACATCATGTTCGTATCTATTACGATTAACGAGATACCAATGCTCGTACCTCGAATTTGTAACATCCTGTATATTCAACTTAAGATATAAGTTAACACGATTCGAGGTGAAAATATAATTTTCACCCGCAAATCCCGTAAAAAATACTTGGTTCCTTAATAACGCATAGGACAACATTCGTTATACAGAGTTTATCTCTGTTGTCCTCATGGGCGGGTCATGGCGGGTAAATATATAATTAAGATTTACTTAGCAAGCCTTGGGGTATGATACTTATATACTAGCTAGCCGGACTAAGGTGGACTTTAAAAGATAAATTTTGGGAAACTAGTAGCGATGGGAACTATCGAATGAATTAGACTATCGAATGGTTAATGAATGAATGATTTCAACTATCGAATGGTTTTATTCGAATAAAATCATTCATTCATTTGTATACTAAAGCATATGTGACAACCTCGCCGTGCGACTAAATGGTTATCGTTGAGCCCCGACTATGGAATGCTTTTGATAAATGAAATTTAGTATTCGTTTGATTTTTGTATGCGTCGGTGCATTATTAGTTCTTCCAAATTTTTATAACTTCGCCGTATAAATACTGTGCTATTTTTGCGTTTATTAAAATAGTTAAAATACTAAAATAGTAGTTATTTTTTAATTTTATTTATTGACGATTGTGTGCATGTGCAGGTGTCAAAATTTTTCCGAAAATTTGTGTGATTTTCCGTAGCCCGATCTTTCAATTATTTTATTTTATATGGTATATGGTCTATTTTTTAATGGGAAATTTTGAGAAGTAGCAATTTTTAAGAGAGATGAGATAATTACAATTAATTTTAAAAATACATATTTGTATTTTAGATGTTTTAATAATATGAATTAGTTGAACTTAATAATCATATTTAAGTAATGTGGTTAAGTAAATGGGGTTATCGAACTCAAACTATGGGGTGAGAAAATTAAAATGAAAGTTTTACACGTGCCAATTTAAAAAAAAGTTAACGATGTTTGTATTTTGTTTATGCTAATTCTATTACATGTAGTTTTTTGCGAAGAAATATTTCATTTATTTTTAAAGTAAATGCCAGTAAAAGTAAATATAATTTTTAAATAGTAATATAAAGCACCTAATATAAATAATTTTGATTTCTAATTTTTTATTTATATTTTCCTTCCATTACACTGCATGCTTAGAAAATTAATAAATGTTTATATTTCATGATTTTAAAATTTGTTGTTAATATAACAAATTAGTTCTGTAATTATTATTATTTAATAAACCAACGTTGCCACACACAAAAAATTTAGAGACTATATTATTTTTAAATAGGATCTAATATAAATAATTTTGACATCTAATTTGTTGTTTATATTTTGCTACTACTTAAAAAAATATTTATATTAAATGATTTTAAATTTTGTTGTTAATAGGTATAACAAATTATTACTGTTATTATTATTTATTAAACCAGTCTTTGCTTAAAAACATTAAAAATAATTTTCCTACATCCAAAATAACAAGTATTATTGCAGTGTAACAACAGAATATTAATAAAAAAATGCAGAATATATAGACATACTATCCCTAACTAACTAAAGCCAAACAATAATATTCTTTGCTAATATCAACTAATACCAAAATATGGCAACAGCGCCCTTCATAATGTATTTTCTGTGTAAATACTAGCACCTCAATAAAAAAAATAATGTGTCCTT